TTTTCATCCGAAAAAAGAATTTCCCGATATTTTTTTCCCGCGTACCGCTTCAACAAAGCGCGGCATCTCTTCAGTCTCAGGTCCATTAGACGAGCATTCAAACGATGTCCTGTTTTTCTTCGATATGCCCGAAGCCCTAAGTCTTCATTTAACACCCTTTTCACCGTGGTTCTGCTTAATCCCATCTGAAGGGCCAACAGTTTCTGCTTACGTTTGGAATTTCTTTGAATTCGCGCCTTCACAGCTTTTATCACTGCTGGAGTCCTAATAGACCGAGGGCGACCACTTCTTGACCTGGTCTTCATTGTATCGTTTGATGGTACGATAAACGAATCTTTTGGTTATATTCAAATTTTTCAGTATGTTAAAAATTTGAATTGGCGCGTAACCGCAACGATGCAACGCAATAACTGCAACACGGTCTTCTTTAAGCGTCCACTCCATATTTAAAAATGAGTAAAATTCTAAAAGTTATACATTTTTATTTTCATGAACAATTCGAAATTCGAATTCAATAAACTTTTTTGTGACCAGCATTCTAAAAGAAAAGTTTTTACTGTGTGACAATATTTATGACCTGACGAGTTATGTTGTTAAAGTTAAGGTATTTAATTATTGTAACTCAGAAAATAAAAAAAATAAAAAAATTATACAAGTCTTTATTTTTCCTTCATTAAAAATAAAATGTAGGATAGGTAATATGTTACTGCCATCTACAGGAGCAATGAGAAACTAATCGAAGCGAAGCCATCTAGTGGCCGACGCCCGTAAACATAATTGTTGAGTGCTTGCGTTCTTTGTCTATAACTAATTTATGTATATTATCTATGATTGAAATATCGGTAGCTCATTGGAACTAAAAAACGTGTCAAATTAAATAGGTATTAGTTTAAGTTATTGATTAATTGACTCGGTGGTGCAGTATTTAGCGTCCCTGATTGTTGCGCTAAGGGTCGCGGGTTCGATACCCACATTGGGTAGATGTTTTGTGATGAACAGGCTTATTTGCTTTTCATCTGGATGGTTATTATCTACCTATATGTCGGATTGGTAAGAATTGAACATATGAAGAGTGTGGAACGGAGCGTGAATTTTTTTGTTTTTTGTTTAGATGGGTGGACGAGCTCACAGCCCATCTGGTGTTAAATGGTTACTGGAGCCTATAGACATCTACAACGTAAATGCGCCACCCACCTTGAGATATAAGTTCTAAGGTCTCAGTATAGTGACAACGGCTACCCCACCCTTCAAACCGAAATAAAATATGCCATAGACATTTCTAATTTAAATTCATAGAGTAGTTTATTCACTGATCGTCTAATAACCAGTAGATGTTATAGATTGTACGAACTCAAAATAACACTTTTATTAACGAATGAATATCGCTGTCGTTGTGTTATTCGCCACCCGTTGTGCTTGTGTGGTACAATTCAGAGGCGGTTAAGCGCTTACTGGTGGTAGGAAGGATCTCTTTTGAGTCCGCACAGGTAGGTACCACCACCCTGCCTATTTCTGCCGTGAAGCAGTAATGCGTTTCGGTTTGAAGGGTGGGGCAGCTTTTGTAACTATACTGAGACCTTAGAACTTATATCTCAAGGTGGGTGGCGCATTTACGTTATAGATGTCTATGGGCTCAAGTAACCACTTAACACCAGATGGGCTGTGAGTTTGTCCACCCATCTAAGCAATAAAAAAAAATCTAGACGAATTCGTCGTCGGAAGGAATTTGATGTTTTTTTTATGATTGTTTTTTTATTTATTTTATTGCTTAAGCGTGTCGACGAGCTCATAGCCCACCTGGTGTTAAGTGGTTCCTAAAGCCCATAGATAGGTGGTAGGATCTCTTGTGAGTCCGCACGGGTAGGTACCACTGCCCTGCCTATTTCTGCCGTGAAGCAGTAATGCGTTTTGGTCTGAAGGGCGGGGCAGCCGTTATACTGTAAAAACTGAGACTTACAACTCATGTCTCAAGGTGGGTGGCGGCATTGACGTTGTAAATGTCTATGGGTTCCGATAACCACTTAACACCAGGTGGGTCGTGAGCTCACGTTGCATACGTACGATCATAAACCAGCGAACACAATGTCATATACATGTCATGTATCTAATAGCAGAAATATATGGCGTTAGGGGTTATAAGTTATGCTACTGCTATGCTATTTATTTATTAAAATCTGTCCAGTAATTTCACGTGAGATATTAATGAACATCCGTCTATCATGACAAACTATTGCACAAGCAGTATTATTAAGATGTAAAAACTAAAAATGTGGGACCTCGTACGAGGCAAACGCCATGAGCGCACACAATGCACCAACGCCGAACAATATGAAGTAATTGAACCATCGTATTAGACGCAGCGGCTATTGCTCGTGTACCGGTAATTGCTTCTCATTTACCCGCTACGACTCATCTATGTTATGGCTTGTTTAGTTTACTCCGTCAATTTATTGGCATCATCTTTGTTATTTCGAAGTTGAGAGGATCTATTAAGGACCATTATTGGTACGCTTAAAGACGGAGTAGACGGTCAAACTAGACAAGATTCGGTAGCGTTTCTATGAGTTAGGTACTGTTTTTTTTGGGATCATTGTCTGTTTCCTTTTAAGCTACAACATTTCAAATTCACGTCCATACGGATCTATCAGATCCAATAACCCTTGCATTAGACGCCTTTAGCTCTAACACTAGGAGCAACAGAATGGAAAGCAGGCGACGTCGCCCCAAACACGTCATTTCGGATCCTCCCGATCCACTAACGGTGCTTTTAGATACCTCAAGCACCGATTACTGTGCTCGTCAAATCCGTCGCTTGCGACGAAGGGCTCGACGAGTAAATCAACCCTCAGACACAGCCCACTGAGTTTCTTGCCCATCTGTCCTGATGAAATCGGAAAGGCTTGCGGGTCAGTGATCCCTCAATCATAAAAAAACTCAAAATTCTCTCCGACAACGAATTCGTCTAGATTTTTTTTATTGCTTAGATGGGTGGACGAGCTCACAGCCCACCTGGTGTTAAGTGGTTACTGGAGCCCATAGACATTTATAACGTAAATGCGCCACTCACCTTGAGATATGTTCTAAGGTCTCAGTATAGTTACAACAGCTGTCCCACCCTTCAAACCGAAACGCATTACTGCTTCACGGCAGAAATAGGCAGGGTGGTGGTACCTACCCGTGCGGACTCGCAAGAGGTCCTACCACCAGTAAAAATATATGTACATTTATCTATAATTAATGTCAGTTTACCTGCGAAATCCTTATCATACCAACACGACTACACAAAGTCTATTTATATCATACAAAATGCACACCGATAACTCCATAAATAAGATGTTCAGTAGTTTTTTTATTAAGGTTTCCTTTTATATAGTACTAGATCTATTTTAAAACTCATCTTCTTTGAACCCGAGACGCGATTTCGGATCAAAGTGAAAAAGTTTCCTTACGACTTGTAATTAGAAAGGGTTTGCCTCTTCCGTTTGTCAAAAGGGAAGTTTTGTGTCGCTGTCCGNAATGCACACCGATAACTCCATAAATAAGATGTTCAGTAGTTTTTTTATTAAGGTTTCCTTTTATATAGTACTAGATCTATTTTAAAACTCATCTTCTTTGAACCCGAGACGCGATTTCGGATCAAAGTGAAAAAGTTTCCTTACGACTTGTAATTAGAAAGGGTTTGCCTCTTCCGTTTGTCAAAAGGGAAGTTTTGTGTCGCTGTCCTGGGAGCTGCGAAAGCTCCTTTGAGGAACTTAATACTGGAACATAAATCGTAATTTTAGAATTAGAAACTTTTGAAGTCGCTTTCATTATAATACTTTGCTTGCGAGCTTTTTGATATAGCTCAAGCCCCTTTTGCTACAAGCTACAAGGTAAATTCTGACGTCACATGATGTGGAAGCCTTACTTGTGCTTTTCCCCCCTCCTACCTATTCTGAGCTTTAAGGGGCTCCTTTGAGGAACTTAATACTGGAACATAAATCGTAATTTTAGAATTAGAAACTTTTCGAGTCGATTTCATTATAATACTTTGCTTGCGAACTTTTTGATATAGCTATAGCTCAAGCCCCTTTTCCTTTTGACTGGCACACGGCACATCTAATAATAAGCTACAAGGTAAATTCTGACGTCATATGATGTGGAAGCTTCACTTGTGCTGGGTTTTTTTCCTCCACCTATGCTTAGAGAGGCTATTTCAGCTTCTCCTTGGCATGTAGGTGAGCTCATGGGGCTCAAACCGGGGGTGTTGCTAACACTGGCCCTAGCAAGAGCAGTGCTTCGCAGAATCTACCACCGGATCGGAAACGCTATACACTGAAAAGATCCGGCGAGAAACTCAGTGGGCCTTGTGCCCTGTGACGCCTGTGTTGCCATTTAAACTGAAAGGCATAAATAGTTTATCGCAGAAATAGGAAAGGTAGGTGGGACCTTTGTGAGTCCGCGCGGGTAGGTACCACCACCCTGCCTATTTCTGCCGTGAAGCAGTAATGCGTTTCGGTTAGAAGGGTGGGGCAGCCGTTGTAACTATACTTGAGACCTTAGAACTTATATCTCAAGGTGTGTGGCGCATTTACTTTGTAGATGTCTATGGGCTCCAGTAACCACTTAACACCAGGTGGTCTGTGAGCGAGCTAGTCCACCCACCTCAGCAATAAAAAAAAAAAAGTAATATAACGCCCTCAAATCAGAAAAATAGAACGTGAATTTCAGTTTCATCGCCTCGTTGACTTAGTGTTTATTGACGTCATAGATAATAATAATAATAGATAAATACATAAACACATAAATTAATTATAGATAAGCAACTCAAACACCCAAAAAAAATGTTTACGGGCGTCGGCCACTAGATGGCTTCGCTTCTAGATGGCCAGTCCTAATTAGTAGATGAGGATCATCGATTTCAACAATGACCCACATCAACAACCCTGTCAATATAACGAAACATGATAATATTTATTGATGAAGAATGATTGATACGGGTCGTCGTATCGCCGGTGTAGTAGTATTACTGCTTACTAGTTACTAGAGTACGGGTAATTATTAACGATTATGAGCGATAAAAGTGCCACTACGCGTATTAAAGATATAGTTGCAATGTCTAAAAACTTATTGTTATATTATTAAACTAGCGACCCGCCCTCGCTTCGCTTCGGAAACATTAAAACACACATGAAACCACAAAAAAAAATAAAAAAAAGTAGCCTATGTTCATCAGGGACAATGTCGGCTTCTAATGGAAAAATTTTTTTTCAAATCGGTCCAGTAATTTCGGAGCCTATTCGAAACAAACAAACAAACAAATCTTTCCTCTTTATAATATATATCTTTATATCTTTATAATATATATAATATAATATAATATAATACAAACAAACAAACAAATCTTTCCTCTTTATAATATTAGTATAGATATAACAAAGCAACTTTCAAATGACTATACACTGAAAAAGTAGCAGTTGAGTGGTAGCTATGTATAGATAGAATGCTAACTACGAATCTGGAAGGCTATAGAGGAAGAGGTAGACCTATGAAGAAATGGATGGATTGCGTGAAAGACGATATGTGTAAGAGGGGAGTGAGCGAAGAAATGGTATATGATAGAGGAGTATGGAAGGAGAAAACATGTTGCGCCGACCCCAGGTGACTGGGAGAAGGGTAGGAAAGTGATGATTTGAAAGGTAGTAATTCAAGAAGGGTAAATGAACTTAAACTCTGATTAACTTTGAAGTCGTCGCGTCCTAATGGATACGCCCGGTGCGTTTATATCAAGTGACGCGTACTTGGTGTAGCAGCCAATGCATATTCGTTTTGCCAAATGTTAGTTATATAACACAGCACGCTTGTACAATTTCTTGTATTTAAAAAAACCGGTCTGGGTACGTGTATGAACATCTTTAAAATAGTTAAAGAATAAGCCTTTTGATGGCCGTTCTAGAAAAAAGACGATGAATGCGGTGTTTTTTCTTTGCTTTGCGTTTTTTACGACATAAAGTCCAAATCGCTCGAAGGTTCATAAATGGGCGTCGATTGACTTCTATAACTGACTGCTCAAATATTTCGGTTGCCTAGTGCGCGGGGAGTCTCTAATTCTATATTTGACATGAAAATACATATACTCATTTGTTTCAGAGGAGCTGAGCGGCATATTCGTGAAGAGTATCAGTGAGGGTAGTTCAGCTGACCTCAGCGGGAAGATGCAGGTCAACGACCGAATCGTTGAGGTAAGATATCGTCGTCTCGCATTCAAACTGTATATATAATCTCAAAACTTATAAAATTTTACAGGAGAGTGTTTTAAAGATTTAAAATGTGATATCTATCTATCTCTATATATAAAAATGAATTGCTGTTCGTTAGTCTCGCTAAAACTCGAGAACGGCCCTACCGATTTGGCTAATTTTGGTCTTGAATTATTTGTAGAAGTCCAGAGAAGGTTTGAAAGGTAGATAAATATGAAAATGCTCGGAATTAAATAAAAATAACAATTTTGTTTTTCCTTTGACGTGTCTCCCGTCGGACGAATTCCTTTTGTTTGTTTTAAGTTTATTTTATACAAAAGTTTAGGTCTTTTATTTATCGATTGAGGCACTACGAAGTCTGCCAGGTCAGCTAATTTTTAATATTAATCATCTTTGCAACGTTTATTTTTTATTTTTTACCAGTTACATTATCTGTCTTTTAAAGTAAGATAAAATTATGTATTAATTTTGCTAATAGTAGTCAAAACATAGAAGAAAAAAAGAACTAAAACTAAACTACGCTCTTTTGACAGTGTTTATGAGAAAAATACTGGTGATGATACCAAATGAATCCGCATATTAACTCAATTTCGAATATTTTTGGAAATTGTACACTTTTAATGCGAAAAGACGATATATTCTACGATGCATTATCATCTTCGAAGCATCGACCATCCGCCGTTTTTCCTGCTGCTTCTCTTAAAACCTTAAGTTGAGGTCTCAGTTTTATGTCATCTGTCCTACCCGACAACCAGGAATGTCCCAGATATAATACGCTGGTGGTAGGACCTCTTGTGAGTCCGCGCGGGTAGGCACCACCACCCTGCCTATTTCTGCCGTGAAGCAGTAATGCGTTTCGGTTTGAATGGTGGAGCAGCCCTAGTAACTATACTCGAGACCTTAGAACTTATATCTCAAGGTGGGTGGTGCATTTACGTTGTAGATGTCTATGGGCTGCAGTAACCATTTAACAACGTCCACCCATCTAATCAATAAAAAAAAAGCTATACTGTGACGTCATTAGCGCCTACCCACCGTTCTAATTAATTATGAATCCATTCAAACATCCATTGAGTTTTATTTGTGCTGTTTTTTACTCGTAAAATGAAAATCACGGGACGATGGGCAGCTAGGACAGCGTGGGTTCACTTGTGAATTATTCATGACATGCGCTGCTCGATAAGTTGTCGTTTTATTGCTTTGGATCTACAGACAGGAGATCAATGTACCCCGGCTGTAAGTAACCGAGATATCACAAGTCAGCCACGCGTCTTGAAGTCTGAGATCGAAGTCACAAAGGCACGGTATAATAGTTAGAACGATGCTATCTTATCGGCAATGGCTCACAAATTTATACCTCCAGGAAAATGCCTTATAACCGTTTTGACTTTGACTGTACCAAAGCAAGAGGATCAAGTATGACAGAAAGAGAGACAGAGTGAGTGAGAGAGAGAGAGAGAGAGAGAGATAGATAGATAGATAGATAATAAAAACTTGTACCTACAGAAAAGTGCCCTATAACCGTTTTGACTTTGACTGTACCAAAGCAAGAGGATCAAGTATTAGAGAAAGAGAGGCAGAGATAGAGAGAGAGAGAGAGATAATATACTTTATTGCACACCAATATACAATTAACATTATGAAAACAGTCATCAGTCATCATCAATCAGTATGAATGCATTAAAAAAAGATTTTTATGTAACCCAAAAATACTGTTCGTTTTGCTTCTTCATGGTTTATAGGTCTTTTTCGTACTGACTGTACGAATATATTAGTTTGATTTGTCTTCTAAGTGTCTACTATACTACATATTATATCAGAGACAGAACTATACTGAGACTATACTGAAGGGTGGCGCATTTACGTCGTAGATGTCTATAGGCCCCAGTAACCACTTAACATCAGGTGGGCTGTGAGCTAGTCCATATAAGCAATAAAAAATAAACAAAAAGATGGTGAACATGGCGACACTAAAAAAATCACTTGAATTCGTGTTTTTTTTTTTTTTTTTTTTTTTTNGGCAGATGTACCACGAACACAGAAACAACAAAAGGAAACAAAACAAATAAAAACTTCCAGAAAGAGCACTTAGTCGGCAGATGTACCACAAACACAGGCCGCGCGAACAATGGCCGGGCTAACAAAAGCCGGGCGAACAAAGACCGGGCGATCGAGTGGACGATGAGCACGTCCGCACGTGACGGGTGCCTCTATCGGAATGAATTCGTGTTTTACGAACGAAAACAAAATATGAAACCATCAAGCCTAAAAGTGTTTATGTTTAGCGTCCGTCCATAATAATTGACACCTCAATAGTTATATTCATCTTATACATTAAATTTTATCTTTTGTTTCCGTCTCTTCTCTTGTAGATGCGAGACAAAAAAAAAGCAACCATTTCCTCTTTATATATGTAGAAGCCGAAGCAAAAACTATTTCAAATAATATAATCATTTTATGAAATTCCCATGTTTTCATTCATTCTGTGTGCGTAGTGAGAGTTTTTAACGTCCTCGATCGCGTAAAAGTTAACTCAAATTTGTGTGGAGTTGGAACAGTGCCCCTAGCGGCAAACTCCGGTCACCATCCTCGTCGAACCCGTCGCTTGCGACGAAGGGCTCGACAAGCGAACTAACCCATAGACACAGCCCACTGAGTTTCTCGCCGGATCTTCTCAGTGGGTCGCGTTTCCGATCCGGTGGTAGATTCTGCGAAGCACTGCTCTTGCTAGGGTCAGTGTTAGCAACTCTCCGGCTTGAGCCCCGCGAGCTCACCTACTAACGTTAGGGCGAAGCTGAAATAGCCTCTCAAGGCTATCAGTATAGGTATGAAATGAGCTCCCCTCCACGGTGTTTCCGAGCGCTATGATATGTCCTTCTTCAAACGAGGCCTGTGGAGAGTATTAAGCGGTAGGCAACGGCTTGGCTCTGCCCCTGGCATTGCTGAAGTCCATGGGCAACGGTAACCACTCACCATCAGGTGGGCCGTATGCTCGTCTGCCTACAAGAGCAATAAAAAAAAGGTATGGAAAAAAAAAGCGGCAAACGTTCCGGCTCCATACAAATTCGAGTTAACGTTTACGCTATTGATAACGTTAAAAAATTCGCACTACGCACACAGTACACGCCGTTTACGTATTTTATTTATTAGTGTATGTATGTACAATGTTAAAATCCAGATAAAAGCATGAAATCATATAATACTATAAAGATAATTGGGGAGTTTTGCCAAAACCAACACATACAGCGAAATAGAGCGGCAATAAAAAAGTGTTTATGAATTTTTCTATGTAATACCATCGAATGTGCGTTACCTCATACGTTTGAGGATAAATTATACAAATTCAAAATAACTGTGAACATTTTCACGTCTATCGCAATATGTTAAAAAGAAAATAATTGTAAATAGACATGCTTTAACAAAAAGCGACTTCAAATAAAATAAAATAAAATATTCCAAAACAAATTAATATACACTCAAAACAATAATCATCCAAATCGGTTGGCGTGAAATCGAGTTATTGACTTATTCATCTATTTGTCGCGCACGTACTTAATGCAAATTTAAAAGTCTTAAATATGGTTCTCTCGTGGATACCATTATCAGAACTGGACTAAATTGAAATGGGACCACACGGGAAGCGTCAGCTTTCTAATAAAAAAAGAATCATCAAAATCGATTCACCCAGTCAAAAGTTATGAGGTAACAAACTTAAAAAAAAACATTCAGTCGAATTGAGACCCACCTCCTTTTTTGAAGTCGGTTAAAAACCGGACGCGAGTAACAAAATAATGTTGAAATAGTCATAGGGAATTTTAATTAAAACGAAAATTACCATTCGATCTTCCCGTAAGATTATTAATGATTAGATGTAGTATGAGTGTGTTTCGACGACTTATAGGGGTTCGCGGGGAACCGCTACATGCAGGCAAGATGTTTGTGGGCTCCAGTAACCACTTAACACCAGGTGGGCTGTAAGCTCCTCTACCCATCTAAGCAATATTTTTTTTTTTTTGTGTTTAACTACCGACTCTGTTCTAAGTTCATAAAAGCGATTTTGGTTCGCCAGGTCGATGGCGTATCACTTCACGGCGTCACAAATCACAAAGCGGTGGCGCTTCTTCGTGATTCTAAAGGTCCTATTGTACGAATTAAAGCTTTAAGGTAAGACGATAAGATATTATTATGTTAACTAGACGATGACCGATTTTTTTGATAACGCCATCTTGTTGTGTCTTTAAAGCGGTTAGTTGCCCTCAATTAAGAAAAATACTATTATTATTCGCCAATAGATGTCGGGAAGAGTCATAAAGTTGATTATCGATAGAGTTGATTATTGAAAACACGAATAAAACAACATTTTCTCAAAATAAATCGTAGCTAGATCGATTTATCGCCCCCGAAATCCCCTGTATACTAAATTTTATGAAAATCGTTGGAGCCGTTTCCGAAATTCAGATTATATACTTAGTCTGGCCATAAATACTGTTACAAAGGAAAAAAAATCTATGGCAAATAACATTTATTACTTTTATAGTGTGTTAGTTTAACACATAAATATAAAACAATTTAAAGTATAAAAAGCTTATTCGAAGTGGTCTCCATTGGCTGAAATACAGTCCTTTAAACGTTGAGGCCAGTTATCAATAGAAGCACGCACTCTTTCCATGGGAAAAATTTTCACTGCCAATCGTACGGATTGTTTTAGGGACTCCAAATTATCATGGCCTTTAGAGCAAGCCGTACTCTCTAAAACTGACCATAAATCATAATCCAGCGAATTAAGATCGGGACTAGACGACAGCTAGTCTTCAGCTCTGATGAAGTCCGAAACGTTCGTTTCCAACCAAGACTGCGTAGACCGAGCTTTATGACCTGGCGCCGAGTCTTGCTGGAAGGACCATTCTTGATTATTGGACATGGTGTTGTTAAGGGGCTTCACTACCTTCTCAAGAATCTCAAGAATCTTGATACACTTGTGCCGATGTTTTGATACCTTTTTCACAAAAGTATGGCTCAGTCACTCCTTCATTCCAACCAAACCATCACTGAAGTCGGATAGTGCCCACGTTGCACTCTGTCGACTGATTGGGAAGCTTCCTTAGAGCTTTAAGCATAAATATGGTCATTTTGTTTGTTAAAATGTTGCTCCATTGTAAAAAAAATCTCATCTGTAAACAAGATTTTTCTATGACCTCCCTTTGCGTACCGCTTCAGTAGTTGTTTCGATTTTATCACCCTATTCTCTTTTAAATTATCAGTTAAGAAATGACCAGCACGTCTTTTATAGGCTGCAAGTCCTAAGTCATCTTTTAAAATACGCGACATGGTTCTAGGTGCTATCTTCATCTCCCGAGATAAAATTTTGCTTTCGGACAGGATTTCTTCGAATTCTTTCCCTTACTGCTTTGATCACCTTTTTCGTACGAACACTACGTGGACGGCCAGATCTTTTTCTGTCACAAACAGAGGAGGTCTCATTGCACCTATTAATTTACCGGTACACATACATTTTACTAATACCAAGCGTATGGAGAGTTTTAAAAATTGCATTTGGCTCCATACCTACTTTGTGTAAAGCAATCACAGCGATTCGGTTCTCTTTATCACCCCACTCCATTTTAATATCGCAAAATGTTGTACAATGTATTGGCGCTAAAATGAGAACTCAATGAGCAATCATATAAAAATGACAGATTCCAAATTCAAATGTAATATTTTGTTTATTTTTAATTGTAACAGTATTTATGGCCAGACTAAGTATATATTAATATACAAAAATTGCTCGTTTAAAGGTATAAGATGATTTTTTAATCGACTATGATCAGTGATACCAAGGACTTATGGATGACTAGCGACCCGTTCTAGCTTCGCTTCGGAAACTGTAATTTATTATTGATTTCTGAACTATTTAATCGATGTTATTATACATATAAACTTTCCTCTTCAATCACTCTATCTATTAAAAAAAACCGCATCAAAATCCGTTGCGTTGTTTTAAAGATTTAAGCATACATAGGGATATAGGGACAGAGAAAGCGACTTTGTTTTAAACTATGTAGTGATTAGTTGTAAAAGCCATGAGTAGATTGGACTGGATAGATTTAATGGACGGAGCTAAAGCTCACCCACCGCTGATGATGGTCATGATGATCAATGACAATATGCATTCAGCAATGTTGACGCATTCTTACCACTGTCCACCACAAGAGCAGAGTTCTGAGGTTACCTAGATTTCTGAGCTTAGTCTTAATACCTTAGTCGGCTTTTGCCGCCCGTGAGTATAGATGAGCCGCTGACTTCTGGTATTATCCTATCTCAATATCCAAAATGTGACTTCTGGACTTTATTACAGGTATCTTCGTGGTGCGGGGTTTGAGAAGCTCCAGAAGGCATTAGCAGCGCAAGACGGAAGGAAATCCCCCATAGCTCCCCCAAGTCCCTCTGTTACTTCACTTGCTAAATACAGTTTTAGTGTTGTAAGTGCTTAGCTATTTTCAACTACGCTTTTTTTTGGGTCAAAAAGGCCTCAATAAGGCTTGTTTTCGTGCTACTAACGGATTAATGTGCGCTAAGGATCATAAAGAAGTGGAAAAGCTGTCTATATAGCATGATTCTACAGTTAACACAATTTTTTTTGTATAGTACAGATGGTAGGGCGTCTTGTGAGCCCACATGGGTAGGTACCACAACCCTATCCATTTTTTTTTCGCCAATAAGTGGTGGGTTTCGGTTTGAAAGGTGGGGCAGCCTTTGTACTTATACCGAAACTTAGACCTTATGTCTGAAGATGAGTGATGGCGCTTACGTTATTGTTGTTACAGTACACCGACCAGTGTAGTTTTGGTCGGTCATTAAAACTACAGTGGGGGTTTTTTTTTGTTTTGCTTAAATGGGTGGACGAGCTCACACCTGGTTTTAACTGGTTACTGGATCTACAACGTAAATGCTGCCACCCACTTTGAGATATAAGTTCTAAAGTCGCAGTATAGTTATAATGGCTGTTCCACCCTTCAAACCGAAAAGCATTACTGCTGCAGAAATAGGCAGGGTGGTGGTACACCTACCCGCGCGGACTCATAATAGGTCCTAACACCAGTAATTAGGCAAATTATAATTTTGCGGGTTTGATTTTTATTACACGACGTTATTCCTTCACCGTGGAAGTCAATCGTCAGCAATTGCTAAGTACGTGTTTCATTACAAAAATGAGTGCAGTAAAATGACCTCGAGCTGGGAGCGATGGCGAGACATTCACGACCACTTTGTCAAGAGTGACACGATTGAGAAGAAGAAGAAGATTTCAAAGAAGATTTTATCATTTTTCAGTACGACGAATCGACGGTGATAGAAGTCGAGCCAGATTCGGAGGTCCAGCCGCATCTACCGTCGCCTACCTCCCCCTCCGAGGAGGCGGAGATTGTTATTGGTAGAGATGAGGATTGCTACGAGAAAAACAGACGGATACAGGACAAATGGCGGGAGATACTCTCCGAGGAGCACGATTGGCCCGGACATAATTATAATTACGATATAATTGTAAGTTATTAAACCAAACCAACGTCGCTAAGCTAGAGTTTTCTCCTGTGTTATGGGCACCGAAAACGTATAAGAGACAATAATATGCATCTCGCACGAAGCACTGCTCTTGCTAGGGTCAGTGTTAGCAATTCTCTCAGGTTGAGTCCATAAGCTCATTTACCAGTCGAAGCTGGAAAATTCCCTTAGGCTACCAGCGGTTAAGTCGGGAAAAAAACAAAAATTTAGCTGTCTCTTTCTCTTTAGGTGGGCACCATCATAAAAGACAAGGACAGCGGCCTAGGGATATCACTGGAGGGGACAGTAAGAGTGGTTGGTGGTAAGGAAGTCCAAGCAAGACATTACATCAGGGCTATAGCGCCTAATGGACCCGTCGCCAGATTGGGTCTCCACAAAGTTGGTGATGAACTGCTCGAGGTAGGTTTTTATTTGGTCGTATGATGTATACCTGGAATATAGCCCCATCTTTTTTCTTAGGATGTTGTAAAAAGCGCCTAATTGTTTATATTTTGAGTCCGCTGGGGTGGGTACAACTATAATGCCTGTTTCTCCTACTGACGCTCTTGCGCACTGATTCGAAAGGTATAATATTATTTATTCTAAATCTATAAAGATTGACCTCATACGTGAAGGTAGATAGCTGAACTAGTTTTGTGGTATTTATAGTTTGGGTTCACCATCGTATATTCGCTCAAATTTCATTCTTGAGCTCAAGAATGTAGCCAGAGCGCTATAAAAAATAAAATAAAATAAAATAAAGTAGATTACTTATAAATGTAGGTGTAGTCGAAATCTAAAATGGCAAGAGCTAAGTGTAAGTACGGTCATAAATGACTACTGCCCACGATAAATCGCCCTGACAATACTATTTTTAACTGAACCCACAGATATCCTTGAACTCCCGATCCTTTAACAGTGCTATTAGGTACCTCAAGCACCGGTCACTGTCCTCCCCGAAGCCGTTGCTTGCGACGAAGGCTCGGCGAGTAAATTAACCTATAGACACAGCCCACTGAGTTTCTCACCGGATCTTCACAGTGGGTCGCGTTTCCGATCCGGTGGTAGATTCTGCGAAGCACTGCTGCTAGGGCCAGTGTTAGCAAATTATCATAGGTTGAGCCCGTAAGCTCACTTATCAGCCTTAGCGTAACTGGAATAGCCCCATAAGCTACCAGCGAATAGGTTTTTTTTTATTGCTTAGTTGGGTAGACGAGCTCACAGCCCACCAGGTGTTAAGTGATTACCGGAGCCCATAGATATCTACAACGTAAATGCGCCACCCACCTTGAGATATAAGTTCTAAGGTCTCAAGTATAGTTACAACGGCTGCTCCACCTTTCAAACCGAAACGCATTACTGCTTCACGGCAGAAATAGGCAGGGTGGTGGTACCTACCCGGACGGACTCACAAGAGGTCCTACCACCAGTAATAAATATTCTTGTGACATGAGGTTCTTCAATTTCTTACTTTATTGGTACACAGCAAGTGATGTTTCAGCTTAACGCATCTCGGTATTATCTTTACAGGTGAATGGTTGGAGAGTATTAGGCGCACACCACGTCGAGGTGGTAACCAGGCTCAGAGCCGTCACCTCTCCTGTGCTATTGGTCTGCGTGAGGAAACGAGACCAGCAACCGGTCCAACCTAAGAAGGAATTAAGTTTTGCGAGGGTATGTTGATTTTTGTATGGACATCCCAAGTGGACCGCTTTTCAAGATATGTTGTAATGATAAATCTATATATAAATACGTGAAGCTGAAAAACTTTGCACCGCTTTTTACGAAAATTGTGAGGAGGAAGGTTTATGAAATTTTCCATACTTCTAGAGAATATAGAGAAGGAGTGTAGAATGCGGATATTTCTTTTAAATTTTGCGTAAAAAATACATTAAATTAATAAAATAAACATTACACACATTACCACGACGTATTTGATACAACACTTATATTATGCTCTTTGTTTATTGTCAAAGTTTTGTTATTGTTTAAAGTCTGTTGTCAAATTGAGAATAGATTAAATATTGTTTGTCTTTAATATTATTAAAATTTGTCTATAGTGTAGTCTTGGCCATTATAGTATCAATAATAATGTTCAAACTTATAATTTCCATTAATTATAGTCGAATTTCGACTAATGCAGGACCATTATTATTTTGAATGATGTCTTGGTTTGGCACACCGTAATGGACATTAAGCCGGATAATATTTTAAGGTTTTCTTAATTCAGCTATCGCACTAAGTCCGATCGTTTCAAAATTTTAGGTTTATTCCAACATTAGTCTGGGTTTTTATTAATCCTTTGACTGCCTTGTAGGTCACGGGTGCCCTCCGCGACGCATTGAAGTAATCATGTTGATTTCTGTTACTAACCGTCTGGATTGCCTAACTTGGCCTTCTTTTGTGTTTAATGTATATGTAGGGACCACAAATGTCTCCATAGCAACTAACAATTATATGTACACTTTAGCGGTAATTATAATGCAATGATGCTACGCCAGTCTCGGGATTGTCGGGCTGTCGATAGCACATTAGATTGTAATCCCAATATACGTTAGTCACTTAACTGACCACGTGTCTTATTAATCCTTGCTCGATATAGAGACTCAACATATGTTTTAGTCTTTTAGTTCTCTTAAAAACAGATTCATTCTCAGTATCTTCGGATTTGTCTTCCCCAGAGTCTACTAGATCTTCCGGTGGCTTAGACGTTTTTATGTCCTGTCAACTACCACTTGACATGGATTTTGTACTCCAAATTGCCCGTGTCAACTACCATTTGACATGGGCCCTCTGTTCCCCCACCATCTATTTTATTGAAACTTGCCTGTCTCTGTTTGTCTAAGGTCTATTCGTATTTAGCTATCTTGCTTCTCTGTAAAATTATCTATCAACTTAAGCCACAAAGTAATGATTTGCTAAGACCCAAAAAAAAAATTTGAGTTAGCCGTGTAGGGCACCGGTGACCTCCGTTGCAATTAACGTATACGTAACGTAACATAACGTAACGTAACGGAACGAAAAGCGACTTCAGTAACATAGAGTAATCACTTCTTCTTCTCCATCGCTCCCTCATTGCTGAGGATCGTGACTCCGTTTCAGCTTGTCGACTGCCAGTCTCCATCGGCTCCGGTCAGTTGCCTGGTGTAGTGCAGCGCTAAGTGGTCCGCTGGTTTGCTCGGAGATCTGGTCGGACCAACGTTTGGGGCTTCGGCCTCTAGGACACTTTCCTTCTACTTTTCAAGAGTAATCACAGCGGCTTAATATTTCCAGAACAGTATCCTCGGAGGTAGCCTTCAAGACCTGTTGTCTCCGCCGCAGAGGCTGATCAAGGCAAAGTCGGAGAGCTGTGTGACGTCACTGTGCAGCACCAACACTGTGACCTCGACTGATCATGACGGTAGGTTGATTTGACGATATTTTCAAAGCCATGAAGAAAGAACCTATGGTTTTTGGTCCGGTTTTAGAAAACGGTGGTTAGTGATCCGATTTCTTTAATGGATAGGCGGATGAATGAGTTCACAGTCCACTCCGTGTTAAGTGTTTCCTTTCGGAGTCGTCGTGGCCTAAAGGATAAAACGTTTGGTGCATGCGTATCGAGCGATACACCGGTTTTTCGAATCCCGCAAGCGGGTACCAATTTTTCTAATGAAATACGTACTTAACAAATGTTGACGATTGACTTCCACGGTGAAGGAATAACATCGTGTAATAAAAATCAAGACCGCAAAATTATAATTTGCGTAATTACTGGTAATTAGCGCCCTGCTTATTTCTGCCGTGAAGCAGTAATGCGTTTCGGATTGAAGGGTGGAGCAGCCGTTGTAACTATACTGAGATCTTAAAACTTATACCTCAAGGTGGGTGGCGCATTTATGTTGTAGATGTCTATGGGCTCCAGTAACCATTTGAATTCAGATGGGCTATGAGCTCGTCCACCCATCTAAGCAATAATAAAAAAAAAGGCTATTATCGAATAGGTAGGGAAACAAAAATAAGTCCGTCGCTTATATTCTTTTGCGCAAAGTTAAATGTATTCAGACCTTGAGAACTCCGACATCCCAACTTATTATAAGCATCGTTTCAGAATTCTGTACGGAAGACTTGGAGAGGAACAAGTCCAGGTCGTTGGAGCCGCTGAGTGGTCTGGCCATGTGGAGCGATCAGGTCGACTACATACAGCTGGCGAAAGAAGACAGAGGTCTCGGGTTCTCCATACTAGATTATCTGGTGAGCCTTTTAATAAAGCCTTAGATAAAAATCTAGGGCGCATTTATTGTAGATAGCGTCGTTTGGTCTAAGATCTTTTCTGCCACGTACCATCCGGCTATGGAATGAGCTCCACTCTACGGTGTTTCCCGAGCGCTATGACATGTCCTTCTTCAAACGAGGCTTGCGGAGAGTAATTAATGGTAGGCAGCGGCTTGGCTCTGCTACTGGCATTGGTGACGTCCATGAGTGACGGTAACCTCTTACCATCAGGTGGGTCGTATGCTCGTCTGCCTACAAAGGCAATAAAAAAAATTTAAAAAAGAACAACCATGAATGTCTTGTCTCTGTGCCCTTGGCCAAGCGTTTGCCTATTATTGAAAATATTTTCTTTATTTTCCTTTGATGTCATAATATCATAGTTTATTGATGTATTATTGGTATTTTAATGAGACCGGGCAGTAATTACACTCCTATTTCTGTAGCGATATACTGACCCGGTATGAAGGGTAGGAGACCGTTATTTTTTTATAGCTTAGAGGGGTGGATCTATCACGGCTTAACTAGTGTTAAGTGTTTACTGGAACCTACAGATATCTTAATGTAAATTCCGCCACCCACTTTAAAAAAGAGTTCTAAGGTCTCAGTTGTAATAGTAGGTCTCAGTTTAAAAGTGGTGGATTCTGCGAAGCACGGCTCTTGCTAGGGCTCGTGTTAGCAACAACGTCAGGTTTGAGCCCCGTAAGCTCACCTATTCGCACGGTGACGCTGACCATCCCGGTCATCGTTCACGTGGAACCCGTCGCTTGCGACGTAGGGCTCGACGAGTAAATTAACCCTCAGACACAGCCCGCTGAGTTTCACGCCGGATCCTCTCAGTGGGTGGCGTTTTTCCGATCCGGTGGTAGATTCTGCGGAGCACGGCTCTTGCTAGGGTTCGTGTTAGCAACAACGTCAGGTTTGAGCCCCGTAAGCTCATCGGTCGGTGACCCTGATATGGTCTCTCAAGAGCGTCATCTTTGTTAGGGAAAAATAACGTTGATCCGTGACTTACAGGATCCATCAGAGCCAGGCAGCTCCGTGATAGTGGTCCGGTCTGTGGTGGCGGGCGGGGCGGCGGCGGCAGACGGTCGCCTGGCGCCGGGGGATCGCCTGGTGTCCGTCAACGGAGAGCACGTGGCCCGCAGCCCCCTGGCAGTCGCTGTCAACGCAATCAAGACTGCTCCCAAAGGTGCGTCCAGCTTCTGATACCGACGAGAAGTGTGGCGGTAGCCATCATACAACGCAAGATATTTGACAGATGCCTGAACCTTACGACATTTTCAAGATAAGCTCGCACATATACAAGTTCCGAACAACAACATTCAGACTGTCGGTCTACTGAGCAATATCACCCGCTCGGTGGAAGATCATCTCTACGTCGTTATACGCTACAAAAAGACACAAATGGACCAATGAAAGCCGTGTGTCTAAGGTGTTCACGAATGACTTCCACGATAAAAAGCCTCTTGCGTCTTGCGCGATTTGGTTCTTCGAGGCCGCTGAAACCTTATTTGGGTCCGGTTAAGTAACCGCCGCCAGACATTCGGCGTTTACTGTTTTACGGTGAATAAGTTGAAGGACTTGAGAAGTTAACGTGTTGCAAACGCCACGATCACGACTAGACTGAAGATTGTGGGTAGGATGTTAAGAACAGACAAATTCGCCTACCCTCTTTCTGGACCTTTTTTCAGTGTTATCGCTGGAACTCGATGACGCGCTATGAAAATATACATCAATTAGACCACAGTTGTGTGGTTCAATAATTATTGGACGTTAGCACAGACTCGGATAATATATAATACACTTGAATTTCTCTAAATCTAATTAGAATTTTGTATAATTCCATTTAGATTCATTCATTTCATACAGTTCATACAATGTTGATTTTATACAGTTTTGAACGTGTTAGAAAGAGTTAAATCTAAATTACCGAAAAAGTATGCCGGTCTGTTGGAAGTCCAATATTTGGACGTCGACAAAGATGAAAGCTAACGACAGTTTTTTTTCGAACATTTTGAGGAAGCATAGGTTTTGTTATTTAATGTAATACTACTTACTGGATTTCATTCATTCGCTAGATCAATTCGCTCGAGTTTTCATATTTGGCTACTTCAATTGCTTCTGTAGCCAGTCTCGGCGTGTAGTGGCGTACCGTAGATAATATCTGCGATAGAAACCCGATAAATAATAGAGGGTGTAATGAATAAAAGGGAATAAAATATCAATTAACGTATATACTGGTGGAGTGGAAGTATTGTGAGCCCCCACGGATGGAGACCACCATTCTGTCAATTGCCGTTGCGAAGCTGTAATGCCTTCCATTGCGAACGATACAGTAGATAGTTAAACACTTCCATTGAGATTTCCACCTCACAGCTCAAAGGCGGCGTTACGTAATGATGTCTATGGACTCCAGTAGCCACCTAACATTAAAATCGTTTGTATGTTTAATGAAAAAAAAAAAAAAAAATTACAAAATAAATTGAACAAGTTAAAATATTAATTTGAATCTTATCAAAATTACATAAGATACGAGTGAAATGAAAGATAAAACAGATTATATGTAAACAAGAGAGCCATAAAACATGGAGTTAAAAAAATTAATGGACATGCTCTTGAGCTTCCGTGTTTGCCTATTGTTATATTATGTATAAATGAGGTTTTTTGTAAATCCATAAAATTTCGGAAATGAATCCTATGCAATACTCATTTTTAAAATGTTTTTTTTTCCCCGGAGTACCTATTGATAGGATATAGATTTTGGAGGCGGAGTTGATAGCGTTAATGCGAATACACAATTCTGTATCTCAAGCATTGCATTCTACAAGAAAAATTATAGAAAAAATATAAAACCCCAAAAATAAACCAGATTACCACATCAACATTATATTATACTATCGCTTCTTGATCTGGTGATATTAATGAGATACGTAAATGCAAATATTATGAGTGGTGGTGCTGTAATTATTCTAGAATGAAGATAAGAAGAAATATTAAAAAAATTTAGTGTACTGATAGTTCGTGTATAGCCCAACTGAACTGGATTTTTCTCTTGAAGTTTATCAATTTTATTGTTTTTTTTTTTTTTCGTGTTTCCGTTAAAACTGCAACAATCGATTCTGAGATCTCATTGGAGCGTTTTTATTGTATGTACATATATATTTTCTTTAATAATCACTACATAGTATAAAACAAAGTCGCTTTCTCTGTCCCTATATCTGCCTGCCTATGTATGCTTAAATCTTTAAAACTACGCAACGGATTTTGGTGCGGTTTTTTTTAATAGATAGAGTGATTGAAGAGGAAGGTTTATATGTATAATAACATCCGTTAAATAGTGGAGAAATCAATAATAAATTACAGTTTCCGAAGCGAAGCTAGGGCGGGCCGCTAGTAATCTATAATTTATTAAATAGTACACCGCAACAGATTTCCGTAAATTAAACTAGGTTGGAAGAGATCGCTTTTAGCGATAAGATCGCCTATTGTACATATGTATTTGTTTTTTTAAATTTTTATTGCTTAGATGAGTGGACGAGCTCACAGCCCACCTGGTTTTAAGTGGTTACTGGAGCCCATAAACATCTACAACGTAAATGCGCCACCGTCTCATGTTTTAGTTGGAGCGGCTACCCCACCCTTCAAACCGAAACGCATTACTGCTTCACGGCAGAAATAGGCGGGGTGGTGGTACCCACCCGCGCGGACTCACAAGAGGTCCTACCACCAGTAAGAATTTGCTTGTTGACTGTTTTTTTTAAAATTTTAATTGGGTTTTAGTGTGCATAAGAGAATATTTTCTCTCTCTATCTCTCTGTGGAGCGTGCCAAACACAATTCCAATGCCGCCCCTTGACACACGAGGTTCAAGTCTGAATTGTATTGTGTAACTTCCACTGCGCGATAGTTATGTATATAATACGTAATTACAATATATTACTAGTTAGTGATTTAGCAGCCGTCGACGCAATAACAATATCGCTTTCGAGCAAGAGCAAGGTTTATTTATTTTATATATTATTATAACTTCAGTGGCGTAAAAGTGATTTTTCAGGACGATTACCGCGCAAAAATAAACCGAGTGTTGATTTCTGTTTTATGAAAATTGCGCGGACGGAGGTATATAAAATTATCCACACGTATAGAGAATATAGAGAAGGAGTGTAGAAACTAATTTTTTTTAATTATGCATATAAAATACATTAAATCAATTAAAAAAAAATTTAAAAAAAACCTTACACACACCATGTATTTGACACAACACTATATATAATATATACTTTTTATATACTTTTTGTTTATTGTCAATTATTGTTTAAAGTCTGTGGTCAAATTGAGAATAGATTAATATTATTTGTTATGTTATATTGTTATTTGTCTATAGTATAGTCTTGGTGAAATCTGTGACTATAGAAGTATAATGAAAATAGAAGAATATAATAGTCTTTGACAATAGAACCATAATAATATTCAAACTTATAACTTCAATTCATTATAGTCGAATTTCGACTACTGCAGGACCACTAGTATAACATTATTACACATTAATATCCATTTCAGTACGTACATTATTACATATTATAAACTAAACTCATCAACATAAACTTTAAAAATGTCAACAGTGGCAGCAAGAATACTTACTGTGGAAATTATTTAGCTGCCCAACTTTATAGGCCTTTAAGGTAATTGAGTTGTAACTTTCAAATTAAGACGCTTTCAATGATTATTGTCATCAGGTATCGTCACAATTGGGATATCAAAACCCCTCCCTTGCAGTACTGTGGTGGGGGGTGAAAAAGCCAACGGCCACAGTTTCCAGAGTAGCCAGGTCAGTATAATTATGGATAAGCTGTCTCATTCGTGTCTAAATAAAAATTACTTTGACAATAAGCATATCGAAGGGTAAAAGGCGATTGAATTTAAGCGTCATTTTGCAACTTTACAGCCATTTAAAGTTTAAAATGTGGAAATAAATATCATAACAAAAAAAAAATACGTGTGGCACTCGGGGACTGCCGCGGTAAAGCTATTGCAAAGCATTTTTTATCAGCTTATGCAATTACAATTTTAGACAATAATAATTTAATATTAGAACGATAATAAAAATAAGACCACGCTATATTTATAAACATTAACAAAAGCAAAACATTAACTGTCCCCTTCACACTCATAAGCTAGACCGCGTGAGAGAGAGATGGACAGACTTATCATGATGCTCATGCAGTGCGACGTCACGCCGCGCGCTTATTCACAAACACTACACCAGCGCAACGTGAATGTGTTGAACGCGAGCTACATAGTAGGCGTAGTGGGGGGTGTCAGGTTATTTTCGTTACGAATTTTTTTGATTTAGTCGCCGCGCTCAAGGCCTGCGATAGAAGCTATGCAATAGCTTAAAACTTCTTCAGCTATTTCAACGGAGTAAACTTAATAGAAGCTTAATTGAAAACATCGAACTGTTAATGCTAATACCAAATAAAACGCACCTTTAATTACAAAGCTATAAATGTCGCTTACACGAAATAACCTTTTACCCCTCCATATTAAATCCATGCCTATCCACATTATGAACAAGCCTATTTTATCGGGAACTTTTTTAAACTAAAAACCATTGTTCATACGACGTTGTTTATACAAAATAAATAATAAATGCATTTGAAATAGGTTATAGATACTGTTTTTTTATGTCAAAACATAATGTTTATATTAATTGAGGCCGTCAGCGCAAAAGTGGCCTAAGTTTGCCATGGTTAGTATAGAGATAATTAATTTTGAGTTTAATTTTACACTGCTTCGTGGGTAAAAACAATACGCGCAAAAATAATATTTACAGAGTCATCATAAAATGTAATCTATGGACGAAACTGGGGATCAGGATAGGGTTTTGCATCGATATTTATTATGTTTTAAATAAATTGCAATATTAATTAAGTACGAATATGAAAAATTGTTGGTTAAGCCACTTTTGCGCGCACAGCCTCTATTTATATGTACGTGCTATTATACAACGTGTTACAAAATACCCCGTAAAAATATCATTAATTATCAAAGCCAAAAGTTTTATCAACCCTAGTAAGCTGTCATGTCAGGGAACCAGATTATTATGATATTTAGGTAGGTATCCTACCTATCAAGGCGTAGTCTCCCGGTAGGAGGTGGAAGAAGAGGAAGACCAAAGTCTTCCTCTTCTCCCTCTTCTTCTCTAGAGGCGCCGGAGTCCGACATAACCCGGTCTATTACCCCTCTCGACCGGGTATCCGTAAATGGATTCCTCAGCGTAAAAAAAAAAAAAGATATCCTACCTATAATATATACTAATAAGTAGGATAAAGGCCTACATACCTATTTTACCGAATAATTATCTACTTTATTGTTTTTCTATTTTTCATTCATAAATGTTTGCTACCTCAGTACAAGAATATAATTATACTCAAGTACTGGCTTCAAAAATGGCTTTAAGTTGGAAAAAAAATTATGTCATTTTCAATTCTTCTAATCGATATCTTAAAACTGTTTCTAGTAGAAATGTAGGTACATTCTGCGTAGCTTACTCTTTGATTTTACTGAAATAGGGTTTGCACATGAGTGAAAATAATATTTTTTTAAATTTTTTTTTATGTTATGTTATACAGCGTTACTTCGGTTCTAAAATATTGTGAATGAACTCGTTTTATGGCCCCATTTAACCTTCTTTCGGTTTTATGGGTAGTTTTGTAACACCCTGTATAAATAAATGGCAGGACCGATGAAATTATTCCTACAAAGTCGATTCGCGAAATTTATGGTTGTAATTAGTTAACGTCAATACGTAATGAATTTTGATGATGCAAAACCAATATACCAATCAGGTGGTTATAGTAATTAAAGTCTGTGAAAGTGAATTTACAAAAACCAAAAAATTTTTTAAAGTTTTTTTTCTTTCATATATACATGTTGATTGTGTGTCTGTGTGTGTTGTCTGTATATAAAGTGTCGTGTTATTGTACACTCAGGGGAATAACAGTAAGTTATTGTTTATTTTTATTTTATTTTTTTCTCTACATAATTATGCTTTCGATTCGCTTGAAGCCTACGTACATATTATTATTAGCATGCAGTTTTTTAAATTATTCGGTCTTGTACGATAAAGGGAATTAGCTCCTCTACTGCCTTGGTTTTTTTTTCTTAGATGGTTGGACGAGCTCACAGTCCATCTGGTGTTAAGTGGTTACTAGAGCCCATAGATATCTACGACGTAAATGCTGCCACCCACCTTGAGATATAAGTTCTAAGGTCTCAGTATAGTTACAACGGCTGCACCGCCCTTCAAACCGAAACGCATTATTGCTTCGCGGTGGCTTACCGATGTTCGGAAACTTTTCTGTTTTATCTTCTATTTAAATTAATACTTTTTTCCCTTTAGTGTACAATATGCATGCCTTATGATTGTTCTTATTTTTTCTTTTTTTTTTCCTTTTTGTTGCAGAGATTGGAATACTTCACGAAGATATTGCGTTTGATAATGTCTTTGCATAGAGACATAATGGAACTTCAGATTGAATATGGGCAAAGGCCTAGGATTGAGAGGGAGAGACACGGAATCAACTCTAAAATTAAAGCTGAAATGATCATGAAATGACGTCACGGCGGATCAGATTATGAATCGGATTTGATGGCTGCGGTGTTGATCGACTGGAGTTTGAGGAGCTGAATGTGTCATTTAGTTTTATATCGACGAGAACAAGCGCCACTCAACGGGATTTTTGTTTTGCCAAAGAATACAGAATACATGGAGCTTTTGTGTTATTTTTATTTTTATTCTTGTGACCGAAATGTGTGCTACAAATGTGGCAAGTGAAGATCTTTATAATACATCGGTAATATTTTTAATTTATCTCATTTTTTTTAGTTTCTTTTCGTCTTTTTTGTTAAGTATTACGTAAATATTAGGTTAATTATTTAACGATTTTGAAAATTCTGAACACCCTGTATAAAGTTGATTCTTAATGGATACACTCTGTACTGTATGTAATTTTGAATGAAATTCGAATTGCAATGACATTATAAAATCATCGTTGTCCGTGAAGTCATAAGGTCGCTTCTTCTGCGTATGTTAAATTTATTTCATAGCTATGTATAAAGGTTGTGTAGTATCGTATAGCAATTATCATATAGTCAATTAATCGTGATGTGTGATGGAATATATGTATTAGAATGTTCTTAAGAAAGCGACTAATAGCGTCCATTTTGAGTGTAGTCTTATGGTATTGAAGCCGCTTGTAATATTGTCTCAAAATGCGGTATTTTAATGCGAGTGTCAGTCCTATATTTGCCAAAGAATGTTTGCGTATTGAGCTCAAGATATTTCAGCAAATGTTACATACATAAATAGTAGTCTATTGCCTATATAAATAGTAGTGTATGACCAGACGAGATGATATATTGAAAATGTTTTGTATGTAAAGACGAAAAGGAATCTGAACAAAATAGAAATTTGGAAAAAAATATGCATATAATAAGGGGTGAAATACGCGACATTTATCCATATAATTAAAGGTCCGTTCATTTGGTATTAGCCTCAACAGTTCGATGTTTTAATTATTGAACCTTAATTTAAGTTTGTTCCCTTGAAATATCTGAAGAAGTTTTTTTTTTGTTACGATAGTTTTTTCTAAATTGTAAATTTTAAAAAATAAGTTATTCTCAAAGAGGGTAATAGACAAAATAAGTTTGGGAACCCCTGATTTAGAACAATATGCATCTTCAGAAGGATTTGTGCTCATTGTTGGATAACGTCATACGTGCTCATTCGGCTCATAACTCACAGGTCACGGACTGTACGATGTACTTTATATGGACTGTACTGTGTATTTGATGCGATTTTTTTAACGTTCTCGAAAGCGTAAAAGTTAACTCAATTAAGTATGGAGTTGCCTACGTTTGCCGCTAGGGGCGGTGTTCCAACTGCATAGAAATTCGAGTTAACTTTTACGCTATCGAGAACGTTAAAAAGCTCGCATTAAGTACTCGTTTGTGCGGCTAGTTGTACTTATAGAAGTACAAGTAATGTTATAAATAAAGGATTTGAGATAGTAATTGTTATTATAAAATATTAAGGTTAAGAGAAATTTATAATTTTTGAAAATTTTATTATTTTATTAAAAAAAGGAAATATTTAATATTTTTTGTTGTATTTATTAAAGCGTCATATTAAGAAGTTTATGTAAATTAAGCTTGGATTTACAAATATGTATTACCTTAATAATTAATTTTTGCAGGTATTCCTTTATTATAATTTTGATATCTTGAAACTGTAAGACGCTTAAGGTTATACATACTTTAATTTAATAGAAAATACATTATAAGTGAGCCCGCAATGAAAAACGTAGAAAGCTTATGGGTCAATGACCTGACTCATTCAATCAACAAAGAAAGACGAAACGCGTCTTTCCTAATAGTCTGTCTAATAAAATAAGAAAAAAATCGTTTTTTTGAGTATTTTCTAGTTCTTCTTCTACTACTACTCATAATTCTATTAAATCTTAAAATTATTTCGAAAGAAGCCCCAAAATAAAGTTTGTATTTAATGAAATGGTTTAATTTATAAAAAAATAATAATTACTATTTACAGGTAATTTTAACATATCATAGTTATTAAGTGTAATGTATTAATGTAATGTTTTAATAATACAACGTCATGTTGTTTGATAGCATCCATCTGTATACTTCAGATTGGAAAAATCAAATCGTATGTTTAGTTAGGGCTGTCGGTGTAATTAGTTATTTTATTGTTAATGTAAAAATCAATTAAAAATTAACAGTGCATTGAGATTGCATTCTAAATTCTATAATATTTAGTTTGTTCATTTATGATAATTGCTAATTTTATTGTTCAAAAATAATTCAGAGCTTTAAGTGCTTTGAGGATATGCTTCAGCATTCAAAGGTAGACCGGTGGGAGTTGGGTCAGGCAACATGACGTGTGTTCTTTAACCGCCAAGGCCTATAGGCCAGGACACAAGGCCAGTGACTTTCGAAATATCCAAATCTATTATCTATCTATATATATAAAAAAAAATGTGTGCGTGTACTAGTGTACACACGTAAGAAGTGAAACTTCTTTATGGCCTTATTTTTCGAAAAATGATCTACATGCAACTTTCTAGAAATTGGTTAAATAAAGTTAAATTAGATAAAGTTTAAACAAAAGGATTTTATTATCATAGACATGAATACAAAAAAGTTAAATTAGATAAAGTTTAAACAAAAGGATTTTATTATCATAGACATGAATACAAAAAAGTTAAATTAGATAAAGTTTAAACAAAAGGATTTTATTATCATAGACATGAATACAAAAAAGATGGCGCGTAACGGAAAAATGTGACGCGTAACCGAAAAATGTGACGGTAAATTTTTTTCCAACGCCGATAAGGAAGTTTCACTTCAAAAATGGATTGCTGTTCGTTAGTCTCGCTAAAACTCGAGACTAGCTGGACCGATTTGGCTAATTTAGGTCTTGAATTATTTGTGGAAGTCCAGGGAAGGTTTAAAAGGTAGACAAATATGAAAATTCTCGGAATTAAATAAAGTTTAGGTCTTTTATTTATCGATTGAGGCACTACGAAGTCTGCGGGGTCAGCTAGTAATATATAAATTAAGAGCCGTCAGATATCAATGAATGATTTCTTAAGCAAGACATTCTATAGTAGCTGTTTAACTCTTTTACTATCTCGCTTTGAAATTACTGTTACGCGCTGGGGTTCGGGATAAATAAATGTTCCACCAAAGTACAACTAAAAACTGTATTCAACACTTTAAAATTCTCAATTCACTTCTTCTGCTTCGCTTCAGGTGATCCGTTCGCTGTTTCGCTTCGAATAGTTCCGATTACTGACTGACTGCGTGCCATCTCTGCAACGCTTTTATAGCCCATACTACATCCCTAGCATTATCGAGAATATTCCACAAAAGTCTAGTATCGTGTGTTTCCGCTATCTGGCAATAGATGGCGTTGTACTTCTCGTGCGTTCCGCGGCTAGACACTTCAATATTCGTTCGACTATTCGGCGATAGATGGCGTTACTCCCACCGACGTAAAATTACAAATCCAGTTTCTATCTTTAATCTTCTCGGCATCTAATACACAAGGAAAGACAATACTCGACACAAAGAAATATAGTTGTTATCTATATTTCTTTGTTCCTTTGCTATAGCTATATCTATTGTACTTTTTTCTACGTCTACGTCACTGTAAGCCTTGGCGTTTGTGTTAAAACACTTTAAATATAAGAATAAATGTGTAGAAAGACTGTGTACCGTCACAATATGTCGTTATAATATGTATAGATATAACAAGATTTGTGACTGTTTGTTCGTTCTAAAACTAGTTTTTTCGTGACGTGGGAAGGTCCGGCTGTAGACAGTTATTAGAGCCTCATCAGCCTCATCATAATGTGGATGCTGCCGTCGATCTTGAAACTTAAGGTGCCCATGTCTTATTGGAGGGATTTTTTACTCCATTTGATGGATATACGTCGGCAATAGTGGGTTTTATTGTGAGCCTACCCAGTTAGGTACTTGGTAGGCAACGCCTTGGCTCTGTCTCTGGCATTGCTGACGTCCATGAGCGACGGTAGCCACTCACCATCAGGTGGGCCGTATGCACGTCTGCCTATACGGCAATAAAAAAAAAGTTACCACAGTTTTCTATATGTCTATCGTGAAGAATTCTCTTTTTGACTTTATGAACTGGGTGAACTGAATTCAGTTCAGTTCAACCCATTGAAGACACAGGTTTGCGCGTTCACTCCGAAGAAGGACCCTTTTGTCATGGCGCCGGAATTTCAAGGAGTATCCCTGCAGCTTTCCGCGAGTATCGGGATTCTGGGGGTCGATATTTCGAGCGATGTCCAGTTTCGGAGTCATTTGGAAGGTAAAGCCAAATTGGCCTCTAAAATGTTGGGAGTCCTCAACAGAGCGAAGCGGTATTTCACGCCTGGACAGTGACTTGCGCTTTATAAAACGCAGGTCCGACCTCGCGTGGAGTACTGCTCTCATCTCTGGGCCGGGGCTCCCAAATACCAGCTACTTCCATTTGACTCCATACAGAAACGGGCTGTTCGGATGGTCGATTCGGAACCTCTGGGTCTACGGAGAGACTTCGGTTCTCTCTGTGTTTATACCGTATAGTCCATGGGGAATTCTCTGAGGAATTATTCGAGATGATCCTCTCATCTCCTTTTCATCATCGCACCTCCCGCCATCGGAGCAGAGTTCATCCATATTATCTGGAACCGTTGCTTTCATCGACAGTGCGTTTCCAAAGATCTTTTTTGCCACGTACCATCCGGCTCTGGAATGAACTCCCCTCCACGGTGTTTTCCGAGCGCTATGACGTATCCTTCTTCAAACGAGGCTTGCGGAGAGTACTTTATGGTAGGCAGCGGCTTGGCTCTGCCCCTGGCATTGCTGACGTCCATGAGCGACGGTGATCACTTACCATCAGGTGGGTTGTATGCTCATCTGCCTACAATGGCAATAAAAAAAATGTAGCAAGGTGGGTGGTGGAATTCATATGACTATGATCTTAACCACTTTATATTATTCTAACCTTGGAATCGTCTGCCAGTCGATGGTCATTTAAAAAGAGGTGGAATCTCAATTTATTTTCATTACTGACTCTTCGACCGATATAAATACCATCAACCTATTGTTAATAACATCCATAGATCTTTAAATAAATAAAACTGTCTCAACTAACTAGTTGTTGACTTTGAAAGTTTCGAGAGCTTTACTGAGTTACGTCATTTACAAAATGGTTTCCTTCATTTGTTGTAAGAACAATAATATATTCTTCATTGCCATGAGCGCAATTGGTCTGAAAAAGTACGTCCTTTTAGGAAACATGATGTTTACCAAGGCTATTGACGGTATCAAAGGCTGTATCTCCTGCTAAGTCTATCCCAAGTTGAATAGTGGGAGGTCCTTATTTAAATTTTCTATTCATATTGTGCTATTGGCGATGTAATTCAAGCTCAGATAGGATAGGTAAGCACTATTGGTCCGCGACAGCGAAAAGTTAGTTAATATATTACGTAAATTGGCCATTTAACTTGTGTCAAGATGAAAAATGGTCACAAGTCTTGTAAAGTAGATGTTAATCGGTGTCAATGCTTTAAAAATGTGTTTTCGATGTTGTTCAAGAGATGCTTTATTATGTGTTGCAATAAATTATTGTGGAAAAAACGGAAACAGTTTTATTTATACATCGGAATTTATAATAAAAATAAATGAAATGTATGATGACATCAACAATTTTACATCATTCGGGATAAAGGACTTTTTGTGCTTATAACAGTTTCTTGGAGACAGTATGGGTATCGCATTAAAAACTAGCACTAATTTATTACTGCAAAATTTTTAAATTTGCATAATGCCTTGTGGCAGTATGTAATAAAAGCAGGTAGAGACAGGTAGCATAGTAGGTTCCAGGTATGCTTATTTCTGCCGCGAAGCAGTGATGCATTCCGGTTTCAAGGGTGGGGAAGACGATGTACTATAAAACTGAGAGTTAGAACTCTTGTCTCAAGTTTAACTTTTTGATTTCCAAATATACGTTATTGATATCTATGGGCTCTAGTAACCGCTTAGCACTAAATGGGCCGTAAAAGTGTGACTGTGTTTACATGTTTAAAAAACCTACTTTGACATTTTGATTAAGACGTAATGATATATAATTGCTTATGTATAAAATTATAATCAAAATGCAACTCATTGCAAAGTTTGGATATTTCACAGGAGTGCCTCAATTCCCTCGCCTCAGACGAACACACAGGCATGGACTCATTCCACGAATGTCTTCAAGAATACGGAGAAGACCTTGAAGTAGTACAAATCTGCCTCGAACCTGAAGATGCTTCTATAAAAGATGATGAAATATCCGTTATCGCTGACTTGAGTTTTGATGACTGCAAAAAGGACATACACCGAAAAGAAATTATTATAGATAGTGATATTATACGTGTAAACGGAATTAAATCCTCGAAATCAGAAGAGTCTCTAGATCATGATGATGATATGACCATCACAGAAGACGACTTTATAGCTCCAAGGGAACTGAAACGAGATATTCGTCGCAAATCAGCTGATATAAAAGAAGATATATGTATTTTTAAGCAGAACAGCAAAGATATATCGACTTCAGACGAAATGGTATTTGCCGTTACTCCAACTGGGTTAGAAAGAATCAGTTTCGAGAAATACTGGAAGGAATGTGATGAAAAAATTGATACAACGACGTTAGAGAGAGTCAAAAGCGATGAAAGTTGGAAGGACGCTAATTCCCCTACCGATGACAGTTTTCACGACGCTACCACGAAAATATCCATTCAAGAGAACAATTCCCTGCTATATATAGATCACGATATCGACGGATACGAAACTTGTCTTGATGATGACACATCTTCGATGAAGTGCGCGTTAAAAAACGATCGTAAAACTACCTTTGATGACAACAAAAATATAAACAAACAAGACAAAACAGATCATGTTAACAAAGGCACCGATCAAAACTACTTTCAGTACGAGGCAGATGCTACAGACGAGTTCGCATCTCGTCCTTACATACAGGAGCACATAATAAAACAGATGAAATCTCTTAAAATAGAAACAATAAACATTGGAAACAAGAGAAAAAGAAGTCCTAGTAAACCGTCTAAGAAGGAGAGGATGCAATGTGTAGAATATTACAACGATCAAGCTGAGTGTTTGAAAGAAATTAAACAGAAGAAATTGGAAGAGCAAAAGAAACATAAAGAGGAGAAAAAGAAAACGACAGATAGAAAGAAAACAGATAGTTCTAGAGGAGAAAAAAGGTGTCAGTTGAAGAAGAAGGAAGTTAGCGAAGAGTCCACTGATTTTGAGAGCAGCTACGTGCCTGGCTGTCACAGGTGCTTCTTAGAGAACTACGCGTATGCTATAACAACGGCGTATATGGCTGAATCCAGTTCATGCAAATACTGCCAAGTTATAAGAGACATGCTGGAAGTTCCCAAAGCGATGTCTGGGAGAAGGAGGTCGGCTCCAGCATTAGTCAATTTATCGAGTGAATCGGATTCTGATGATGATGGGCTGCTTTTCGTGCCTATGGTGCAGGGTAGGAGGAAGTCTGCTGGACCTCTCAAGTTCGTGCTGCCTCCTAGAAGACCGAGGTAAGTGATTTTCACTAATAAAATCTTGCGAAACGGTTTTCAAAATAGAGATGAGTTGAAATTTGAAAAATAAATCAATTAATGAATTGTTGAATAAATTATTTAAAATTTAACTATTTTTAAACTTTTATTGAATAAGCTGAGCGTTTTAAGCTTGTGGATTCGTTGTCAAAATGCTAGATGTGTTGAATTTTAAAATGAATGTGAAATGTGAATTATGAGTTTGCTAGGCTTATTCGTGCTAAAGAGATTTGTGCTTACTCATTTGATCAAGTTGAAACTTTGTAGAGAAGTATAATTTGCGACTTGGTGCCAATCAATGTACGATAAATAGCAGGTCCATAAATGTGTGGGTAAATTGGCTATTTACCATTACTATTACTATTTACTGGTGGTAGGACCTCTTGTAAACAAATATAAAATAAGGGTTAATCGTAGAGGGGTGAAAATTTAGGGTTGTATGTATTTTTGTATGTTGTATCATAAAAAAATAAATACAAAAATTTTTGTTTAAAAAATAAATAAAAAAGTTTAGGGGTGGACCACCCTTAAAATTTAGGGAGATAATAAATATATTTTGTCTGATTCTCCACCCTGGCCAATATGCACGCTAAAATTTACGAAAATCGATAGAGCAGTTTCGGAGGAGTTCAATAACGCACACCGTGACACGAGAATTTTATATATTATATATAGCGAAAATCACAGAGAAGCGTCGCCCAGTTTTACTAGTTTGGTATAAATTAATGTTTTTGGAAAGGAAACTTAACAGTAACATTGCCTCCTGGTGTTGACGAACGCTGAATCCAAGCACCAAACAAAACATACTTCACGCAATTTACTCTACAGAAACCTTATAAGTACCTATTATCAGTCGACCTAGGGCAAGAGTTAGGTTACGGTACAAACAACCTTATTCTAAATAATCACAGGTTTCACTTTATTTCCAAAGGCATGCTAACTTTAAATCTTTGAAAATTAAACAAGATCGATCTAATGTGACGGCGAGTTACAAAATGTTTTCCACTTCGAGAAGGCGGTACAACATGAAAGCCCTCTTGTCGTGACCGCCGGTAATTACAATCCCGATCCTTTGGAGTGAATGGTAAACAGTTGAAATCGCCCTAAGCACGTAATTACGGATCCTCCCGATCCATTAACGGTGCTTTTAGGTACCACAAGCAACGGTCACCGCTCTCGTCGAACCCCTCGCTTGCGACGAAGGGCTCGACGAGTGAATTAACCCATAGACACAGCCCACTGAGTTTTTCGCCGGATCTTCTCAGTGGGTTGCGTTTCCGATCCGGTGGTAGATTTGCGAAGCACTGCTCATGCTAGGGCTAGTGTTAGCAACACAACCGGTTTGAGCCCCGTGAGCTCACCTACACATCAACCAGAGAAGCTGAAATAGCCTCTCAAGGGTATCAGTATAGGTAGGGAAAAAAATACAAAATGGCATGATTGGAATACTTCAGATATTTCTTAAGCGTTGGCAAAGTTTGTATGGAAAACTATTAAGTTTATTTAAAAGTTCTTGTTGCTAAACATCGTTGTATAGTTACAGTCCTATACATGTATATTATTAAAGTAATATATCGCAAAAAACTGTATGCCAGATTGGTTAATTTAACGTCACCGCGTATAAAAATTAGGGTGCAAGGAAATTTCAAACTAAAAACATTTTGTTTAGGTGCATTTTCGAAAACGTTCTTCGAAAAAAATCTTGCCTGATTTTGCAAAACAGTGAAACGTTCAGGCTCTGTAGGGTAACCATAACTGTAATTAAGGCTTTAACAACTTGTCTCGAAGTAATGGTATTCGAGTCGTAATTATATGGATTCCGTTTACAACTGTAAGAACTGGTTATGGTCTGAAGGATAGGACGTCCCCTGTACATGGTAACCCTCCCATAACACGGTAGATACGTTCCAACAAAGTCCCGTGTTGTGTGAAATTGTGTTATATGAGACCGGAAGTCAGTTTAAAAATAAATAATAGTTTAAAAAAACAAAAAAAATACGGTTTCATAGAAAATCTAACTAAATTTTTTAAATAAATTTGAATTAAAAATAGTGTAAGAAAAATGATTTTTTTGTAAAAAAAAAGCGTAGTCTATTGTATAAAAGGTATTGTATTGTAAAAAATTTTGAAGGGGTCAAAATCATGTTCAAAAATTCCGTTACATACTAACATACATACGTCTGAAGCTAATAAAAGCGTATTAAAAAGCAGAGTAAATTATCTGAATGAAAATTAAATTATTGTTATTATTATGACTAGAGGTCTCGCAGTAGTCGAAATTCGACTATAATTAATTGGAATTGTAAGTTTGGGCACTATTATGATTGTATTTTATACTTCTATAATCACAAATTTCGCCAAGACTACACTATAAAAAAATAATAATAAAGACAAACAATATTTAATCTATTCTCAATTTGACCACAGATGTCAAGAACAAAAGTTTGACAATAAATAAATAGTATGCATGCGTGTGTGCGTCAAATACATGGTATGTAGTGTGTGTAATGTTTTCTTTATTGATTTAATGTATCTTTTATTCATTATTTTAAAAAAATATTAGCATTGTGCACTTCTTTTCTGTATTCTCTATAAGTGTGGAAAATTTCATACTTCATAAGGGATATAAAGTTTTTGCTTCATGTATTAATATATAGATTATGATAAAGTCGAAATCAAACCCTAATTAACCGTTTTAATTATGTCGATGACTTGTGAATACCACAATATCATGTTGTTTGTTATATTTCCAATATGGCGGAAAGGGTTGCAAAATTGGCTTTTTTTTTGTATAGATACTCATGGGAGTCCGATTTACGTAGTTTTAGGCCGCATGCTCAACGTCAATAAGTAGTTTAACGAATCGATCCCCGAGGGCACTTACATATTCAAATTAAATAATCTACAGCAATGGAATTGGTAGGCACTTAGCCAAATTAATATTATAAACCCGAAATGCACCGATATATTTTTTGTTTCTGTGTTACATTGCTCTGTATTTTGGATGAGATTGCTGCGTAGTGTAACGTGGTCGTTGGAGTCCATAGACATCACTATGTGAATGCCGCTATCCATCTTGAGACATGAGATCCAAGTTTTAATGTTATTGACAATATTTTTTTTAAATAATTTACTTATGGTATTACTAGTTTTGGGTTGTGCATTAAATTATTAGTCGCCAAAGAAACGATTGGGATATTTGCTGACTCTGGTACCCACTAAACATAGAGTGGGCCGTCATTATATCCGCCGATCTAAAGCGATTGATAAACAAAAACCGCCTTTTTTATTTGCCGAATTATTTTTGTATTCAATTTCTTTTTTTCTTTTCTTTTTTTTCATTTTTTTTTATTGCTTAGATGGGTGGACGAGCTCACAGCCCACCAGGTGTTAAGTGGTTACTGGAGCCCATAGACATTTACAACGTAAATGCGCCACCCACCTTGAGATATAAGTTCTAAGATCTCAGTATAGTTACAACGGCTGCCCTACCCTTCAAACCGAAACGCATTACTGCTTCACGGCAGAAATAGGCAGGGCGGTGGTACCTACCCGTGCGGACTCACAAGAGGTCCTACCGCCAGTAAATTTTGTCCTACCACCAATTTTGTGAGCAAGATATTATTTAATAAGTATTTTTCGAGTTAATGATTGATTTCCTCCATCTCTGTTACCCCTTGCGTCACGTTCGACTCAACCTTGAGCTTTCCCGGGGGAGTCCAAGCTAATACGTAATTGGCCATAATGGATTAGGTCAACGAAGAGCTTTTTTTAAACACATTTTCATTAGCTTGACCCATAACTACATACCTAAATGGTTCCGTATAATTTCGAACAAGATATTGGACTCATTTGAAAATTTGCACACGTATCAAGAAACGATAATTTTATTACTCTTTGGTTTAATATCTTGACTGGGATAACGTGGTAAATGAAAGATTAGTGTGGCTTTCAGTTTGTCTCGTTATTGAAGCCGGCTTAAGATTTATATATTTTTTGTGTGGGTAGTTATAAAACCTTCGAGCAAGCATTACCGGGCAATGACAGTAAAATGTGTTTTTTAAGGCGTTTTATGACCTGGTAACTAAGACCTTTAAGTCATGTCTTATTTTAATTTATATTCTTATTCTTATGAAAAATGATAATGTGGAGATAAATGAAATGAAATGAAATGAAGATGATTAATTTGAGACATTAATCAACTGGGATGAAATTGAATGAAATGAGATATGGGATGAAATATAATCTCAGTAAAATGGTGGTTATTTACTGAAATTTTTTTTAGTGGACTTTTTGGAGGATCCCGATAAGTTACGTCCAGCGGCTTTGTTTCATTTTCCCACATTTGTGCACTTTCACAGATATTAAATTGTTAATAAACCACCGTTATTACACATTTAAACCTGAAGAAACACTAAATAGACAAAATAAAACAAATCACACAACTTCACTCCTCGCGTTCCCGCCAAAAAGTCCACAGTAAAATGTTGGTTCGAGTTTGTCAAAGAATATCGTAGCGTAATTACTGGTGATAGGGTGCTTTGGACATCTTGTGAGTCCGTACGGATGGGTACCATCGCCCTACCTTCTACAGTGAAGCAGTAATTCTTTTCGATTTGAAGGGTGGTGCAGTTGTTGTACTGTAAAAACGGAGACCTTAGAACTCATATCTCAAGGTAGGTGGCGGCATTTACGTTCTAGATGTCTATGGGCTCCGATAGACACTTAGCATCAGGTAGGCCGAGAGCTCGTCATCTCATCTAAGCAATACAAAAAAAGCCTTCAGTTCTGTAGGGTCACACACACATGCTTTATATCGTACGTGGCGTGTTACCTGGCTACGTAATGCAAGGTGTCATCTTCACCATTCCACGCTTGTGGGAAAAGGATATTGGGACGACAGTCCAGTTGTAACGGTCATACAGCGAATACATGTTCCACTTAGATTAGATTAGCTATAATAAAACTGTATGTACCTA